CGGAAGGGACTGAAGAAACACAGGCGAGGCAAGCTACAACGCCACAATGTAGGAGCACCTTTTTTGAACGTATCGCCTTTGACATCCTGGGACCTCTGTCAAGAACTGCTTATGGCAAGAAATACATCCTCATTGTCATAGTTCACCAAGTGGCCTGCAGCATATCCTATTCTTAATCAAGAGGCTGTCACAGTAGCAGAGGTCAAGGAAGGATACAGCACTGGATTTCCAGGTTCGGAATGACTCTTATTACATTCTGATCCGGGAAGGATTTTTACCTCGGCTGCAATCAAAGAACTCTGCAAGCTACTCGGTATTGACAAAACCCAAACGGCGCCTTTACATCCCCAGTTAGAAGGTATGATAGAGAGGTTTAATCGAACCATCCTTAATAACCTCTTATTGGTGGTTTCAAGAAACCAACAGGACTGGGACAAGAAGTTACTTTTGTGTTACTTGGCTTACGGCAGCGCTGTCCAATAGACTAACGGCTATTCTCCATCTCAGATGGACTTCGGTCGTGATCTTCGTGTGCCTTGTGATCTCTTGTTTGGTCGCCCTCCGGATGCTCCTTCATCGTCTGAGGAATATATTCAAGATCTCCAGGCCCGGTTTGAAGTGATGCACAACTTTGCACGAGAGCGAGTTAACTTGGCGATGGTACAGCACTGGATTTCCAGGTTCGGAGTTCCTCTTCAGTTACATTCCGATCAGGGAAGGAATTTTACGTCGGCAGTAATCAAAGAACTCTGCAAATTACTTGGCATTGACAAAACCCAAACGACGCCATTACATCCCCAGTCGGACGGCATGGTAGAGCGGTTCAATCGAACCATCCTTAATAACCTCTCATTAGTGGTTTCCAGAAACCAACAGGATTGGGACAAGAAATTACCACTGTTTTTACTGGTTTACCGCAGTGCTGTCCACGAGACTACCGGCTATTCCCCATCACAGATGCTCTTCGGTCGTGACCTTCGTCTGCCTTGTGATCTCTTGTTTTGTCGCCCTCCTGATGCGCCTTCATCGCCCGAGGAGTGCATCCAAGATCTCTAAGCCCGGTTTGAAGTGATCCACAATTCTGCACGAGAGCGAGTCAAATTGGCGACGGAAAAGATGAAGTCTCGATACAACACGAGAGCTGCTGGACATCGAATCAACAAAAGAGACAATATGTGGTTGTGGAATCCGACTCGAAGGAAAGGAGTCTGTCCTAAACTTACAGGCATCTTGGGATGGTCTATACACGGTCCTAAACAAGCTGAACGACGTCGTGGTTCGGATCCGTAAGTCATCGAACTCTAAGCCTAAAGTCGTTCATTACGACAGGCTAGCTCCTTACTGTGCCAAATAGTGCATAGTGTATATAATGTAACTAATATAAGCTCAGGATGCTTTTCGTTTCTAAATTTGTAAATCTGTGCACTCATTTATTGATTTAGTATTTGATTTGTTTTATGTTACTTATTGTAATTATTATGTGCTTTCTTACTGTAGTGTATGGTTTACTATGGCACTGAAGCTTTAGTTGTAAGAATGCCTTCCTGTCCAGAGATTGTACTGCCCGGGACGCACAGGCCTTGGAAAGGGAGTAGTGTTACGAATTTTGTATTTAGACTAATGTTAGTAAAATTATAATTAAAATTCTTTTATTTCCCCGTAAAATGCAGCGCGTGATAAATTTTAAAAGAAAGCTACAACGAAAAACGTACATTTAAAATTGAATAAAAGTTTATCTAGGTAATTTATATTTATTTCGTATAAATGTTATTGATTACTATGTTAGCTGTAACCATAATTCTACACTTTTGCTTTCCAGAAAATTACTAGAACTCTCTCGCGACCGATTGAAAGCTTTAAAAAGCCGGAGAGAAATATGTCAGCTCATTTCCTTAGTTACTGTTAATGCGATTCATTTAGTTTTCTCTTTGAACTGCGTTGTATTTTAGTGTTTTGAGTAGTTTAAAGTATAGCTATTGGTTGTATTGCGTTCTATTTAACGTGTCCTGATATTGTGAACACTTGTAAGAATACCTCTGAGGAAAATTCCAGCGTTTTATTATATTTCTTGTGATAAGAATAAATTTTATTAACTTTTTATCGGACCTGTGCATTCAGTCTATTACAAACCCTTACGCACGCAACAATATATTATATATATTTTATATGTATGCGTGTATATATATATATAGTACAACTTCTTTATGAGCACCTATTTCATTTTGTAATATAACAAAACCTATAACGTTGATCTAAACTCGAATTTCTTCTATTACGATTAAATTCAGAATGTTTATGGCCTGTTAAGCATTCATTGTATAATGTCGACTACCCCACACGACTATAATGTCGGCATTCTAAGGAAAACCTATATATGTGCAGATCAATTCAGAATTAAAATACTGGAGCCATTTTTCAAATAGAAAGCAAATTTAAACAAAATTTATATTTCCGTTTTCTCATAGCCAATGGAGTAAAGCATTTCAATCAATATATCGATTCTTTCTCAAGTAGCTGCAAGGCATTACTTTCTGCCATCTGAAGATTCAGAAGACATCCATTGCGTTCAGCATAAAACTTCAAAAAAAAGTTTCCTTCTTTTAACACGTGTGAAATTACATTCATTCATTAAAGCAAATTTGAAATTAAGTTGAATGATAACTAAATATTTAAACCATAAAAACTAAATATTTAAACCATCAGCAATTAGCGTCAACTATGCTGTACATCAAAAATATTTTAACGAAAGCGATTATAAAATAAAAACTTAAAACTATTAATTAGTATTAAAAATGTTATTTAATTTAAACTATTTAAAAATATTTGTTAAAACGCACTTGTCATCCTAATTCTGCAAACAAATCTCATTTTATTCCTGATCCTGTTTTGCCGCAGAAATAATTATTTTTAAATGAAAACTTTAAAATATAATTGACTACCATTTTTACACTCAACATAAATTTGTTAGTTCTTAAAGCTAGCAGGGTTTACCTTAGTTCAAATAACCAATTATTCAAATGTTTGTAATCTTTCCTGTACTCCTCAACTTCCCCTTGCATTTCCTCGCCAGGATGTATATATAATCTGTAAATTTTTACCATTGTTAATTTAAAAGTTTGTTATTGTTATTGTTTTGATAAAGCTGGAAAAAATTAATTTAGAATGTGTTTAAATTGTGCTTTGGACATTATTTATACAACCTATTTATGTCTTATATTTTTCATGAATTTTTTTTATTTACACACTGTACAGAACTTAAAAGATAAGCTGAAGTGTTAGCCGATTTACTAGGTTAAAATCGTTAACTGATTTACGGAAAACTTTCACTCATATTTAATTGAATCTTATAAAGGTGCGACTAATTAATATGTTGTTAACAAGAAGATATTGCAAGGTGTTTTATAAAAAAATATATATGAATCTTCTCATCTAACAATACAATTGTAATAAAGTAGAAACTGAAAAGTTATTAATAATCAAATACAAATATGCAAAATGCAAGGATACTTAGTGATACCTTGTTATTTTGCTAATTTTCAGAAAATGCTGTTTCGCGAATCCCTAGGCGTTCGCCTCTTCGATTTAAAATGTAAGATAATAAACTAACCAATACATATAGGATCTTAATTTGCATGCATTTAACCATGCGTGTGTTTCATACACTTATATTTTTCTTGTTACTTGCGGTTAAAGACGTTTTTGTTTTCTGTCAGATATTGTTCACACTTTTCCGAAGCTGACGATAAGTTGCACTTCTCAGCAGTAGAAACTAACTCAGCTAGACGTAAAAACAGCAAGAAAGAAATTAGATTTTTGAAGAATACGTCCAGAATTCAACGAAGTTCTAGAAATCATATTATTATAAGAAGACGCTTCATATACCAGCTTCGGCAATATTTAAACGATATAAATTTCATGTCACAATAAGTATCCTAATTATGGGAATGATGATATACTAACAGATGAGCTACAGTAATATATCTTAAAACAATAACTTATATCGAGTTCGATTAACAGTAGCAATCTAAAAATTACCTAAAACAAAAACAAAAGAAAACAAAACAAAAAATCCGATTTGCCCACTAAATACAAATCAACTAAAGCAATAGTTTATTTTTGTATAAACGTATATTAGTATGGCCATTTACCTAAGTAAAGCATAAATAATTTGATGACTTTGAAGTAAAATGTAGATTGCAAGCTGGTTGAAACAGTATGGTAACGATTTCGATAAATCTATTGAAAAGGGAAAAAAATTTTTAAATAGGTATTTTAATATATGCAGAAAACAATTTTATATGTTTAATATGCAGCAAAATTATCTCTGTGATTTTTTATAAAGTACATAAATATGTAAGCGAGTCTCAAAAGTACGTATTTAAGTAATATACCCAAATACAAATTTTAATATACATAAAAAATTTTAATATGAAGCAAAATTACTTCTACGATTTCATTATAAATTATAGAAATATATGAGCAATATGCAAACGTTTAAGATGATTCTATTCATTTAGCAATACACAATGATGAAAATTAACTGCAAGATCTATGTAAATTGATTATGTTTGGCAATGCAGCGCTATTTTGCGTTTCTTTTTTTTAATTTCAAAATATTATGAAATTTTGTTACAAGTTTTGGCTAATGTGTTAGAATTAGCTTTGGATATCAAAACTTCATTTGACAATTTTATGTGGCTTGTCTATAGGAAATTAATAGCTAATTTTAACTGATATCTTTCTTCTCGAATGTATAGTATAATCTAGATTTTTTTCGAACCAGTCTCTAGTTCAAGATTGGCAGATTTCTCTTATTCGTAAGCAAGCCAATTTATCACACCACTTTTTTTAAACTATTTTATACACAATTTGTTATTCAGAGAAGATTTTACTATTTTTAGCTGAGAATATTTAAGATATAATTCGTAATGTTATGTGAGTATTTTGCGTAAGAATATTTTTAAAACTCTTAACATAATGTTTTCTCTGCTTTTTTTCAGATTATCCAAATCCAGCCAAGGCAGGCTCACAACAACGAGTTCAGCGCCGCAGACCTCAACAAGTGGTCACAAGTCCACTTCTTCCTCGATGACCATTCCGCTCTCTTGTAGTTCCAGTAATGCCCAAACTCCCGGCGATGAGCTGAGTCCTGACCGCCCCATACTATGCGACCAGTCTAGCGAAGACTTGTGCAAGTTGGAAGTCCGCATAGACGATCTGTCCAAGTAAAATAAATTTTCTTCATCTTTTTTTCGTTAGTTCTTAGCGTTAGTAAATGGCATTAGCCCAGAAGGGCTGATAATTTCGTTTTGGCATTTTGCGTTGAAACTTTAAATGTCGGTTCACTTTTAAAATTTTTGCCACAATATTATCGTCCTGTGTTATATTTAAAGAAACTAAATAATGAAGAATAGGCATAAATGTTTCTCGCATTGTGATAAAACAACGGTACCTAGAGCCATCCAATTTTGAATAACATAATCTTCCACCGAATATGGGAATCTGGAAACCCTAATTTGGGATTTGAAATTTGTTTTATTATCGGTTTCATATTTGTGACACTTCAATGAATTTTTGATTAACAAATTCAAAGATTTCAAATCGAGCAATGGCAAAACTGTACGGGAAAAAAATTATCTCCAGCGCGCGAGACTGTGTATCGGAAATTCTAAAGATATGCTCATTTTAAAATTATTTTGCGATATTGCTGTTGAATTGAATTTTACGGTTTTAGTGCAAAGAACGTTTAATAAATAAAGGTAACACACAAACGGTTAAAAAAAATGTCCCTTTGGGAGTAATGTAAAATCTGAACGCTTTCAGACCCCTTTTTTATGGCTTTAAATTAATTATAATTTGTATGCTCACACATCTTGCGCAAAAAGCATAAAAGTAGTGTGTAAAGCATTAATGTATACAACATTTTATGGCCTTATTTTTTTAGTCATAATATCCTATTGCCTTCTTAAAGAAATAAAAATAAACATAATTATATAAAATTGCTATAGTACCACCATGAAATATTTTATGATATCCAAGATATTTGCTCGATAAGTTTCCCATCAAGTAAAATGAATTTTCAACAAATTTGATGCTTTAAATTGTACGATGAACTCAATATTATTCACTCAATTTTAATTTCTGAAATTTGTCTTCTCAGCAGTCGTTCAGAGTTCGAAAGAAATATCTGCAAAACACAATAGTTCTATTCTGTATAGTGTTCTCTTCCTCATGGAGAACAAGTCCATTGTATAACGATTTTCTAGGCTTGTTTCATACATGATCTGGTTTCTTCGATGGATCTGGTTTCTTCGATCGAATCTTTGATGGTAATATGCTTGTTCATTCGCATATAGTGCTAGTGAGTTTTATCATAATCAAATTCTTGTTTCAATCTAGCTTCCTTCCTATTATGCTTTTGAGCTTTATTATCTATGAGCCATTTTAGTACTTCGTCTTTACTCGAACGCACGTTTTATTTTTTCTGGCATTAAAAAATTCTTAAAAAGAAGAGGAATAGATTTATTTTGGCATGAAATGCCAAAATAATTTCTAATAAGGAGGGTATTATAAACATTTTCCCACATACCGAGGTAATACACGAGAAACAAAATTCAAGAAGCAAGAAAATATTGAATAGAAGCAGAATTGTTTTTGATTAAAACAGATAAGTGTGAAATATTTGTCTGTATATTCTGTATTATGCAAGTGAAATTTAATATGGATTACTTAAACACAGATACTACATTATTTGTTTAAAAGAGCCCTGCTACCTTCATACGATCTTTGCAAATATTTCATTTAATTTAAAGAACCATGACTAATATTTGGCTAATAATTTAATTTTTAATCTAACTACCAAATGTAGAGTGCATTTTGTATAAGCTTTTCGGTTATAAATGAAATTTTTCATAATGCAGAAAACTGTAACATGTTTTTTAATTTTAAGAAATTAGATAACATCTTATCGTACAGCTTCCGATTCTCTGACGAACCGAATAAGCGAAGGCGTAAAATTGCCAAAACGCTGATATCATTGCAAGCGCTGGAAATAATAATAGCAATAGCAATAAATAATAATTAATAACAATAAGTAAAGTAAAAAAACTAGAAAAGAAAAGACTAACTTTTCTTAATCAGCCTTTACCTACTTTACTTCAAAACCTCATTTATTTCATAATACCTGAACTTATGAATTCGCAGAATGCAAATCATAGAATTAGATATAATAATAAGACTTGTAACTTCCTATTGATTGTATTATTGGAAAATTTTCAATTTTAAATATATAAAATTAACATCTTACTCGTTTTCCAAAATAAAAGTCTTAAAACTTAAGCTTCTGTTTCAAATTGCTTTACAAATCTTTTCCATCCTTAGTCTTAAAACAAAGAATAATTAAATTAAACATTTTATTTATCTGTGCTTTCAGTTACCGAATTAATCTTTTCTGTGTTAATAGTTCTTAGGAACTTTAAATAAACATTTTGTGAAAAACTTTGTGAACAAAGCTTTTCCACCATTTTTACAACTCCAAGCAATAATATTTTTTTTACAACTGAAGATATCTGTAGCAAGTGGATATATCTGGATATCTTCATCAATTTGCATCCCAATTATAAATATTAGAGCGTATATAAAAATATTATGACAACACTTAACACTTTAAGCATAAACTGATCAGCTTAGTGGGTCCAAGACGCACACATTGTTTTCTCTTCACCTTTCCTAATATGAGATTTATCACAAGAAAACATATTTTTGAAGCTGAACTAATAATATTAAACAAAGAAAGTCTTCATTCTATTTTAAAATAACATCTAATTATGAATAAATTCAGTAAGATGTAATTCAGTTAGATGTAGTGAATGATACATATCTTTTTTTCACCTGCAAATTAATTATTCTCGAATATTCTTTAACTCGAGACAAAACAGATTATATCCACTCATGTTTATATTATCAGCCTGTTTTCTGTAAATATTTATATTCACAGTGCATGGAATGTGTTAATTTTATTAACAGTTAAATTTTAAGGTAACGTTCCTTTCCTGTCAAATTCTTAACTTCAACTTCCGGCCAGAACGTAGTTTTGGAATCACTCTGAATACTTAATGAGGAGGATCAGTATTTAAACCGCGAAGTCTACTTGGTGAGTTAGAGAGAATCAAGAGTTTTTGATTTGCGCGCGTCTGCCTTTGGCTACTCTCTCTCAAAGCTGTTATTACGCTCGGCCGTACTCAGGCCCTTAATAAGCTTCGTAGTCAAATAGAGTTAGGGGGCTAACTCGTTTAGAATCTTGATAGCTTCGGCTATATCTCTTTAGTTAATCTTAGTTTTAGTTTATTTCTTAGTCTCTTAAGTTCAAGCCCAAGTGTCGGCTTTTATTGTACACTCCAAGACGGAGTTTTGTTAAATCTTATTGGAATAATAAAGGGTTAGTTACCCTTCCATCTTGTTGTTTCTTGTCACACGAACTTAAGCGATTATTCGCTAACTAGTTCTTAAGGTTACTCACTTTTAACTGCAATTACACAGTGGTGAACCTCACAACAGATATATTTTCTGTGAATAGTTTCTTCACTACATCTTGTTTTTCCTAGTTTTACAGGAAGCATATTTTTATGATTCTTTATTTTGGGAATTAAGTGATAACGTAAATTTATATTTCGTTTATGATGCTAAAATCACTTTTTTTTTTTTTTTTTCCAAAGTAGAGTAAATTTGTTTTGCACCTTAATATTACTGAATGCTACTGCATTGTAAATGAATAAATTATTAAGAATTGTGTTTACGTTTATGTTTACCTTTCGTTTAAACACTTAATAAGCTCATATCCATTACTTAATTACGTACATTTAGCATAAAAATGTTTTAGATTTTCTTATCACAGAAAAAACATTTTTATGACTGTGATAAGAGTGATGACTTTAAAGTGTACCATCAAATAGGAAACGAAATACCAAGTGATTCTATACATAAATTAGTGACACATTGAATATTAAATTATTTTCACTAATTTAAGTATGTAACTTTTGTATAAAATTTGCATTTAAGCACTCATGATTATTAGATTGCATTTTTAATCCAAGAAATTGCTGAGTTATGAAATATGCTGTCAGACACTGCTGGTTTCTAGTTTAAAAGGAGGGTATATCTATGTTTCCTCATATTTCCTGGTGTTTCTTTATGCCAATTATTTGTTGATTTAGCTATAATTGTTTATCATGTATCTTAAGCTAATTGTTTATCCCTTCTTTTTTATCTTAATCTTCAGTCTTTCTAAATGTGTTCAACTTCACCTTCCGGCATTCGAGCTTTTCTAAAATCCTTCGGCTGTTCAGTGTCAAAGGATACAGTATAATTACCGCGCTTTATATCCAACTGATGCTGATTCCATAATTCGTCTTCGCACTTACTCTCATGTCCTTTGTTCTAAACTTAATGTCAAGTCCCTTTCCTCGATTTTTCCACAGCAGGGAAAGAGTGGTTGTGCTCTTGGTAGCAGAATAAGGAAAGGTAGAGATCAATACCCATGATCTTCATGAAACATATTTGTCATGAATATTGTTAACTGGAACATTTTATTCCATCCTATCATTCCTGGGATGAATAGGAATTTACGACACCTAAACTGCCTCCTAGTTTAAATGAAGCCAGCTATAGCTATCTTTCTACATTGAACTGGTGGTCTGCTCGGATTTCACCTATTTTTTTTCCAATCTTGATTATAATACTTTGGAATTTGTCTTTACATTATTTCATCCATACATTCTGAAAGATGGTTTTAGTCAGTCGTCACCGAACTATCTGAAACCGTCCTCGACTAACGAAACCATCAATCGAACTAACTGAAACATCCATCCATCCATATAAACCCTTTCCTTTTCTTTAAGACATTGTTATTACAAATTCTTATATATCCGCTTTAGATTTGTGAGGACATTTTAATGTGTTCGGTGCAGAAAGGATAATAAATAAATAATTGCAGTAATTTTCCAAGTTTCTTTCAGAGGTTTTAAATAGAAATAATTACAATAATATGTAAACATATACTATGAAAGAGTTTGCAGTTAAAGGTTTTTTATCCTTTTTACCTTAATATCGTACTATGATTATTGTTTTAGTTTTTTGATATTCCACAAATCTTTCATCCTCAAGTAAATACATTTATACCTTATGTTTTTATCTATTTTTCTTTTCTTTAACTTAATATTTTTGCTTTTCCTGAATTAGGGTTACACCTATGAGGAATTATTACGATAATTTAGCTTTCATCTTAGCATGCAACTAAATTAAATTTGTGAAATCTTTTCCAAATCTACATTATTTGTGAGAATTCTTCTAACTTAAACTGTATATAATACATCTATACATATTTTAGAAGTGATTGCTAATTAATATACATTCAAGAAGAAGAGTAAAGGTAGTTATACTACTTAAGGTAATGAGCATGAAAGGGTTTCCTGTATTGCATTTAGTGAGAAATGTGTAAGAAATTTTAGACTTCCATCTAAATTACTGATTTTTATGTCCCTTCTAAACGACAGAAATATTATACGAAAATATTTTACAAATTTGCAAATAGAGCAACTGCTGTATAACTTGGGTATTGGGTGGAACATTAAAATGCTTCGAGATATTTTTACTGTTTTTATCTTACAGAAAATGGGAAAATCTTAAAACGTAGAACAATTAAAAATAAATACCGTCGATATATTAACTTTGAATCTAACATAATGATTTTTTAATATATTTTGAGTAACTTTATGATATTGTAATAATTTTTATTTTCAGGCAAGTTCAGAACTTGGAGGACAAAATAAGCTCTGAAATGCAGAGTCTCATTCAGTTGCTTAATCAGGTGATAGTAATGAAATGTCTCCCTCCTGCTGAGACGTCTGCACCTCCTTTCATTCCAGCCACCACCGCCGCCGCCTCCCCTGGCATAGACCTACCACTACACATGATGTCTTTCCGATCTAGTTCCGTACAGCTCCCGCTCTCGGAAAAGACGCGGGTCCGTGTCTACAGGAGAGCGGTCAGTTTGCAAGGCACGCCTGTTCCCGCAGACAGTTCTGTGCGCCAACTTTCCGGAAGAGGAAGCAGGTGAGATACCGTTAATACTTAACGGTAATTTATCTGGAATTATTTCCCGTTTATATTGATTCAACTCTAGCCTTTTAACGTTATCATAATACTTTGGTGAGTAGACGATTGATGTAATGTTGACTTGAGAGTTCCCTGTCTCTCAGTTTATAATTACCCATCTGCAAAGATATAATTATATCGTCAGTCATATTGTCATTATATAAAATTATTATAATCTACTTGAGAGACAACTAGTCTCTTAAGTAGATTTTAATTATAGTGAAACTCCAGAGAGACTATAATACTTTTACTTAAAGTTTGTGCTTATCAGTATCAATTTAACCTTTATTACGTAAAAAAATATTAGATGTTTATGCACCAGCTGAGGTGCTGTACCGCCTGTTATATGACTATCAGCATTTGTACTCAATTAGTAGAGCATTCTGTTGTCGCTAGGCCTACCTGAAAATCTCTATAGAATATTAAAATTTGCAGCAGCATTTATAAAGTTACTTCAAAATTTAGAATGTTACTGCGGAATTTGCAGCAGAATTTATAAATATAAATTAAAACAAGCAACGAAATAAAGTTGTCAGTTTTTTATGCATATGAAATTGTATTTAAAATATTTATGAAAAATGTAAGGTATTACCGTAGAATGTGGTTAGTAATTTATATTGTTACATAGCAAAATGATTTTATAATTTAAAGCAGTGGTGGTTAACGTCTCTCCATACTAAAATCATTCTGAAATGGGTAGTAGCATCACAGGTGTAATAATATGACCTTTTAAATAGCAAATTCGAGTAACGTGTCCTGGTATTATAAGCATAGACTGTTTCAAGGTAATATTATACTTCTTTCAATAATATTTGTGAATATATTTGCAAATATGATGAAAATCTCGAAATATTGTTTTGAGTGCCTATTTCAGTGAAATATTTATAGTTATTAATTAACATTTAATGCAAATCAGCGAGAATACTGTGAATACTCTTAGGAAGCGGCAAATCAGTTTAATAATGCTCATTTTCAGAAATTTGCATGTGTACTGTATGCTTGTGCTTTGTATTTTGTCAGAAAAGCAAAGGTAGGCCAATATACATGCTTTGCATTTAATACAGCAAACTCTGTTAATAATAATCATATTTCTTTTTATACTTTGCCATGGACCTCAGGTCACACAAAAAAGTTATGTCTCATTGTCCATTTGCCAGCTGAAGAGAGCACTGCAAGGTTTGACAAGCATTTCTAAGGTATTATATATGCCACAAATATTAACTTATGTTGTTCAAGCTCAGACATTATTTCGCATGGATTTCAAATGAAAAGTATATAAACATTGTATGCAAATGCCAAGTTATTTAACAAATTAAACTTGAAAGTTATTCTGAACTATCGCATTAATGACAGATTATTCTTTTCCTTTTGAAAAATCACACAAACGATTTTTGTATCGCCATTAGAGGGCGCTCTTCTTCTGAGAAAAGTATGTTAGGTTAGTTCAGTTAGCGATGTAGAAGATGGTGAACCATCGATGCACTCCAGGTTGTTTTTGTAAAATGTTGAAGTATTGGTTTCTATTAGCATTACGTATGACCAGAGCTCTCATAAAAGAAGTCAAACTTTTTTTTTTCCTGAATCAAATTCTTTCATTTTACTGCTCAGAAATACAGAGTAATTCATAATTCTGCTAGGGGAAACACCTAGCAGAATTATATAGAGCAGAGTATATAGCAGAGTTCATAGTGCATTAGCTCTGATATACAAAACAAAATAATGAAGACTGTTTCCAAATTGTATGTGTCTCTGCGAATGCTCGATGTATACATCTTCAAGACTCGGCAGATATCAGTGCTAAATTCAAGTTTCTGTCATACGTCCCAACATATCGCGATCCGTTAGCAACCGTATGCCTGATCACTTCTCAAAGCTGTGTTAAACGACGTGCCACGGGGAGAAAGAACTTTTAATTTAACGCTTAAAACTATCATATAGGTTCATGTTAGATAAGCATGGACGCTATGGAAGAAGAGAAGAGCATCTTCAGGAGTATATTAAAGGCCAAAGACCAGAAAGATCAACATTGGTTATGCGTGGATTCCCTCCTGAATATGTGAGGAGTTTCATCTTGTTGAGAAATGAAGTCCTTGTTATCTGCCCGTAATTATGGCATTAGCCAGTGCTTGCAAGTGCAAGTGATATCACTTGGCTTCCCGAAAGAGAATGACTCACTAAGGCTAAAAAGCGAGTTATTGCGAGATAGGTGGCTATTACGATTGTAAGATTAAGAGATTTGCGATACGTTGCATGTTTATCTTCATTTTTTGCTACTGTTCTTTTACTATAAGTTTTTTAAATACCAGAGACAATTACGTATTACCCTGTACACCGACTTTGTTTATTTGAAACCAACGTTATGCATACTTTTACAATTTCTAATGCTCCAGCTGGTGTGCTACATTTGCAAGCGTTGTCACCTTATATCTGCAGTAGGGGAATAATTTATAAAGAAGAGGCTTTTTTATACATTTATTAGACTTCTACGAAAACTTTAATATCATAAACATTTAACTAATGTATTTTTTATAAGTGGGGAACAATGTTTAGCTAATGTTCTTGAACAATGAAGTCGCTAGCTGCGACCAAAGCAAAATTTATGAGTTCTATGTACACCTGAAAGCAAATTGCATAAGAACCTTCTTCAAGCCAATAAGATCGATTTAATTTTTCTGCAGTCTTTATTCCGAATTTTTGTTCATACGTGAAAAAGAAACGTGGAAAGATAATAGTGTCTTACCTGAAAACAAATTACTTATGAAAAGGTAATTCTTCGTAATACTGATTTATTATGAACAATTTTCAGTAATTTGAGATGTCAAACGAATTGGAGAAAAGTTTCTTCTATTGTCTGCGTAAAGTTAAAATGTTCTTTGAACAAATTCATAACAGCAAATAAAAAATATACTAAAGCAATATTCTGCAATGGAAATACAGAAAAAAATTTGCTGCATTTCCAAATTTCAAAGCAAAAATGCAGAATTTTCGTAATATTTTTAAGATTTATTACGTATTTTCATTGAAATAAATATTTGACTCGCTTAATTTGATTTTTGTTTGTAAATTTTCGTTCTTATTTTAATCTGTAATGATTTTATGTCATTAGAATGTGAAAAATACATTTTGCTATCTTTTATTTGAACTTCCAGTTGGTGAAGATATTGCATTTTAAAGGCTTAAGTAAGCTATTCTTATATTTTATGTTCGCGCTGTTTTTCAAGTTTTGTATTTTCTAATTTACTATCGAAGACTAACATAATTTTTCATATCCTTTGGATGCTTGCAATAGTTGAATATTTTAATTTGAAATACATTAGAAATGCATCTGAGAATTGTTTTATGTATACTGAATGAAAAAAAGAACAAATATTTATAGATTTGGTTGTAGTTATAAACACAAAAGAAATATTAAACTTATAATAAATTAGAAAGCATTATATTATTAAGAAGATGATGCTTTTGAATTCCTTTCCTAACACATAATTAAATTTTTCTTTGTTGTAATAAATGCATAAACGGACATAGTATAAGCATATCATTTAGGAAACATGAAATATAAAACTACTTTATTTGACAACCATGTAAAAATAAATTTTCCCATCTTATAGTGCTGAGAAATTTTAAATGAGCATTTATTAAGGAACTGGCGGGCAGTTACGCAAAACAATATAAATTCTATGTGCTTAAAAACTGAAAATAAAATGAACAATTTATTTAATGTACAGCATATAAAGTCGCTAGCTGCGACCAAAGCAAAATTTATGAGTTCTATGTACACCTGAAAGCAAATTTCATAACAAAACATTTCAATATTAATGAAATCAGTTCATTGTTTCCTAGCAGCAACCAATTCAAATACTTTTTGTTGCCAAACTAGGAAACAAAAACTTTGGATACTCCTGGTTAATACGTATACGTATGACGTCATGATTTCAATTTAATGTAATATAACAACTTTTTATCAATAGCAATAAAAGAATTAACGTGGCAATAACATACCGTGTCAGTTATTGTAATGACGCATTGGGTAAACTGTGTAGTACCAGAATGCTACGGTAGAACAGATATGTTATTTCGAATACTGTCATGAGTAACTAGTATATATTTAGAATTTAATTATATATATATATCCATGTTTTTAACATTTTTAAAAATTATAAGAATAGAAATAAGATAAGAGATAAATTAAAAGATAAAATTCTAAAAAGACTAAAGTGTACGTCAAGTTTCAAAAGACCTGAAGTGCTATCTGGGAAGGCCGAGAAAGGAGGAATGAACTGGCTATAACCTGATGCAGAAACAACATTGGTATAAATAATAGGCAAAGTACTGTGAGTTTCTTGGTGCACTAGTAATAATTAAACCTTAAATCTATAACATCATAGTAAGAGGTACATATCAAATTACATAAGTTATACAATATGGGTACTAAGTATGGCCATAGGCCGTTTACTATTAATTGGATCATTAAAGTCGTAATCGTAAATCCTTATAACTGGGTTGTTGATATTAACAAGATTGGCATAAAAGTTTCGGGCGAGCCGGCAGTAAAAACACTTAAGTTGTTCTATACCCAATTCTTCATATAACTTTTGATTTCGAACGTACCAGGGCGAATTGGTAATCTGTCTTATGACACAATTTTGTGCCTGTTGCAATTTTTTTTATAATATTTGCATGAATATGCCCAGACCGGGCAGGCATAGCATAGTATGGGACGCAATACTTTTTTTATTAAATAAGCAACTTGTTGTGTATTGAAAGTACTCTGTTTCGAGAAATTAAGGTGTGAAGTGTGACTTTAATTACTCGAAACTTATTCCTTAATATAACAACTATTAAGGATAGATGTTATGTGTGGGTACCATGATAGAGTTTTACTCAGGATCACCCCAAGATAAAAGAATTGCTAGTAATCGTAATCTGAAACAAAAATGTTGCCAACAGCAGCTATTTCTCTAAAATGCTGACATTAATGAAACAGTTTCGACATGAAATAACATTACATGAAATCGTGTGCTTTCTACAGCTTCGGAACATTACCTTATATAATAATAATATATTTAATGTTTGACAATGCTATTATGTTTCACGCTTTGCTGAACTATAACACACTTTAAAATATTTTAATTTGGGTAGAGGCAATTGTTTTTCTTAAATTGCTGAGTTTTTTTTTATTAAATTCGAGACAAATTAATATGTCCCAGAGTGGCAACACCAATTTTTTTTTTATATCGCCGTTTTTTCTCCTTAAATTTAATATTCACTTAAAATACTAAATTTCGTATTAAATTCTCATCTTTATGATTTTTATTAATTAAAAACTCTTAAAAAGCTGATTTTCGAACTCATTTTACCGAGTGGCAAAAGTCTCGCGCACTGGAGATAAAAAAGCTTTGTTTCGGAAAGTGTTGTCACTCCTTGCTTTCAAATCGTAGAGTTTGTTAAGTTTTTATAAGTTTTACAAAATATTAAATAAAATTAGCATTGCTAAACGTTTTTATGTACATTTAACATATTATTACGTATGGTCATATTCTGACGTTGAAGAAAGCATGCGACAGCACAGACGTTATTGTGTGTCGAAAATATCGCTTAATGTCAACATTTTAAACTAATAGCTGTTGCTGATAACTTATTTCTTAAGGTTAGGAAAATTGACACGATATGTTTTATTGTCACGTTAATTTTTTGTTATTGATAGTGGAAAAAGTTTTCCATTAAACTTAAATCGTGACAAAATGTGTCATGACATCATACGAATGTGATACGAAATGTGTTATGACATCATATGACATTTAAATCATGACATCATACGAATTAACTTGAAGTGTCAAAAGTTTTTGTTTCCTGTTTTGGCAACAAAAAGTTGTTTACGAATTAGTTGTTGCTTTGAAAGAATGAACTGATTTTATTCATACTGAAATGTTTTTATGCATTTTCTTTTCAGCTGTACGCAGAAATTTCAAATTTTGTTTTGACTGCACCTCGCTAGGATGTGCATAAAGAGTGAGGACCCCCTTGGATAGGTTTTTGAGAAATCTTATGTAGACAGTGACCTTCCTCTTGTTTTGATTGCCGAATGTGGCAAGCTTCATAAAGATCGGAAGTAGATTTGTATAAAAGACAAACAAACAAATATTCATTTTTATATACAAAGACTAAGCATTTTCGTTGTTATTTAAATTTAGTAGATGTTGCATATTTGGAACAGTTTCAGTATAGCCCACCTTCAAAGTTTAGCGAATTTTTTTGAGAGCCAAAGCGCGTGAAATGTTTTGAAAAATGGTTAATCGAGATTTTCGAAGAAACTCTGTGTTTCAAAAATGGCGGCCATCTTGATTTCACCAGAAATCGTGGATAATAGAAATAAATTTACGACTATTATACACGATTTTAAAAGAAAAAAATATTAAGGAATGATTAAGGAAAATTATTAAGGTTAAAAGGATGTAATTTTAAAAACAATGCCGGAAAATCTCACCCTTGGCTTCCCCCAAATGTAAGATACCTTTGCATGGTATCTTACATTTTTCACAACAAACTTAATCCTTCAATAATCCACAATCCATCAAAAATTCTCTAAAAAGTTCATACTCTCTTGTAAATTCATATATAAAGTATCTGTTTGGACTGCATGGCTTACCCAAACTTTTAAGCTTGTTTGGAAATTCTCACCTTAAATTTTCCTTTAAAATCTCTTGATACTTAATTACAACATCACTAACAGCAGATTTAGAGCAATCCATAACTAAATGCATAAAATATTATCTCCAAAACAGTATTCTCCATAATATCTGAGCGTTAAACAATCGAAGAAAAGAGTGTTACGAATTGTGTGTTTAGATAGTTAATTTTAGTAGAATTCTAATTAAAAATGTTGTATTTCCCCGTGCAATGCAGCGCGAGATAAATTTTAAGAGAAGGCTATCCCAGAAAAGTAAGAATACAGGGAAACGTGCATTTAACTTTAGTAAATGGATATCTCGGTAATTTGTATTGACGTTGAATAAATGTAATTGACCACTAGGTTAGCTGTAACCGTAATTCGATCCTCTTTAGAAATAGGAAATTTACGGTTGTTTACATTGCGTTTGCCGAATAGTATGGGTTACCACATGCTCGTACACAGGTGTGGGTTGCCACATCATATCATTTATCGCCATTCTTGGCGATATTTTTTGATTAAAATTCTGGGTGAGCTATACTAAAGCTGTTCCCATATTTGAGAATAATTTATTGATATACAATATAGTTATGGTATTTTGTATTATCCGGTTATACTACTTTGGTAGACGGTTGCATGGACTTTTGGCGATTTACATTGGCGCAATTGTTGGCGCTGTTTTTACTGTCGTCAGCCATCTTGAAAAATGCTGTTTTTACGTATTTCACGCTTAGATTCGAAACTTTAAAAAAATTAATATTGTTAAAAATAATGGATTAATTTTTTGTTGATAACGTTTTCTTTTTTTTAAAGATGGCTAGCAAATGTAAATAAATACATTTACTAAGAGTATAAAATGCTAAAGTAAGGTTAAATTATTACTTTCATATAATAGAATAAAAACACCGCTATAAAAGCATTGCGCCAAATTTAATTGCAATAAAATATTACGTAAATTGAATATTGAATTAAAAGCATCATAACAACGTTTAAGAGAATTAAAATTTTTCAATTACTTAAATTCAAATCCTTTAAAATAAGTTTCATAGGATATAATTATTTAACATTAAAACATATGTGGCAATAAATATTTCAGGAATTTTCGAAAACAATGTATTAATTTTTTAATAAAAATGAAGTATACAATAATAAAGTAAAAGAAAGATATGTACTTAAATTTTTTTTAACTATTTTACCTCACGTATATTGATAAGCACCAGGAAAAAAAAAGATCTTCATCTGTTATCAACATCTCTCGCACTTCAGTGAAGAAGCAATTAGCGAGGTTTCCTCCAAAAGTTTTAATAAATTTCCTCTGACCCTTGTAACAATAAATAAATCTTTGATTAGGAAATCCAGGTTGACCAAAATAAGGTCTCAAACAATTTTTTTATTTCGATACCAATAATTCTTGGTAATTACCAATAACAACATTCATCTTCGAAACTGACACATCCATTCGCTTTGAAACCTGAGGAATTCGTAGAGATGAATAATAAAATTTTAAAATGGCGCGGTAATGCACAAATATTCAGTAACCAATCAGGGAGCTGATTACATCACACATAGAATTAAAATTATTTAAATAATCATTCATAATAAAATCATATTTAAAAAATGCAAAATTAAATTGTATTTTAATATTTAACAGCCATAAATAATGCTTAAAACATTAGATTAAATTTATAGATATTAAAACCAATTACTTTTAAAATAATGTGACGTCATTCATTACAACATTCACAATATAAAATTCCATAAAATATCATAAACAATAAAATTTTTTATTTAAAATAAAAATGCAAAGTTAAATTCATTTTTATTATTTAGAAGTCATAAGTAACATTTAAAACAAAGAATTTATGCATAATAAAACGCATTATTTTTAAAAAATTCTATCGCTCGCCAAAATCCTAGCAACCGTCTACCAAAGTAGCACCATATCTGCTTCTATATATAACAGAATTTATACGTAAACATTTGCTTAAAAAATAAATTTCTACTGTAGTCTCTTTTTGCGTGTGACTGTGAATTTTTAGAAAACATATCTTTATTGTACAATCTTGCTAAATTTGTTTGCATTGCTCTAAACTAACATTTATTTGTTTTCACTTTTACTCGATAAATAATTATTTGTAATTATATTCCACTGTTATTTATATATTTTTCAGATCCCAGGAAGAGCTTGTAGATGATATTCCTGAGGCCATTGCGGAAGAGCCTGTCCACACCCATTCACATGCCAAAACCGTGCCTCCCTCTCCAGTGGTAGAGGACATATCACAACCACCGGAGAGGTGTCGATCTCAACCTTCGTATTTCAACCAAGTAAAAAATTGGTTATATTTTTCATTTTTCTTAGACATGTTCTGCGTAAATTTTGTAATATTTGTTGAGCTAAAATGGCATCGATGTCATCCAAAAGCAATGATATAATCGAAATATTTAAATCTGCATAATTCTGTGCCAGACCCCAATGTGAGCTTGCTTTTTTGCCGCTTTCTCATGGGTCCTTTCTTTAAGGTTAGAAAATTAGTAAGATTATATATTAGTAAGACTGAGAAAGATTCTCACCCTCTTTCAAAGTAGCTATTGATCTTGGAGGTGCAAATAAGATCTGTTGCTCAAAAGTTAAGTATCATACTTCCAATGCCAAAGAGTTCTTCAGCAACTGCTGCTGAAATTTGCAAGCGTTGACTAGTCACCGAAACCGTCTTAAAGAAATTGAAGAATAAAATAACGTCTCCCATTGTACATGACAAACATTTATTTAAACTATGAAGACGTTGAACAGCAGAGTAGAAACATGATATTACACAGCGCTTTGCACTTCTCTTTTACATCCAATACTCACCATTGACCTTGGCTAACTACGTATTAACTAAGTATAAGTATTACCCCGCAGAGAACTTTCTTATCATGTGCATGCGCTAGGGGAATCAACGGCGGTTGCCAACAGAAGTGATGAAAGTTCTTGATTATATAATGACAAAAAATATATAAATAAGCAAAGCCGGAAAGAGCACCTTCTCATGAATTTCATGTTATAAGCGCATCTTTCAAGAAAATTGCATTAGATTTCCCAATTTTATTCAATAAAAACACAAATTCCAGAAGTGCCTGAAACACAAATGCTGTGAAGAATTTTTTCAGTTTTTATGCGAGATACATTATCAAAAGTAATAGCCAAAGACATTTCAGTCGCTTTCGCTCTGGAAATTTCGATGTTCAAGATGTCCTTCGCAGTGGGAAGACGCTCTCAGAAAAGTGGACGGTAGTTTAATAAAAATTGAGCAATAACGACCCGTAAGCAGCCATGATATCATCAAGAGCCCAAGTATTGATCACCAAATAGTGTTAAACCATTTAAGGAAAGTTGGCTAGAAAAAGAAGCTCAAAGTTTGAGTCCACACAATCTGACTCGAAAAACAATAGACTCAGATCTATACTATCGATAAGCAGAGCAACTGCACCTATCAATTCAAAAGAAACGGTTCGAACTTGTCAAAAAAAATTGTGTCGTATATCACGCTCACAAGCACAGACTATATGCATCTTTCACAATCCATTAATATTTGAGACAGTTTGGCTGGAAGATTTTAGTACATTCAATGTATAGATTGGATCAAGCATTGTCAGACCTTCATTTGCTTCTTCTGTGCAGGACACTCTGAGTTATGTTAAGTTAGTTTCAAAAGGCTGCTTTGAAAATAACTTATCAAGAATTTTTTTACCAGAAACCACAGAAGTTCTGCAGCATATGTTGATGTTGCCGGAATAATGTCAGAACATCATCGAACAGAGTAATGCATATGGTGTTTCATAATGTTTCATTCCATTAATAATAAATGTATTCTCAATTTTGGCTTCGAAAGACTAAATTCTTCTTAGAAAATCTTAATAGTGTTCTGATAATTTTTTTTTTTTTTAATTTTGTTGCTAAATCACATAAACTTGTGCAAATGAATCTAACCTAATATATAGTAGTAAAAGGGAATCAGGCTTTTTATATGAGACTGCATTCGTTTTTTCAATGTAACTACAATAAATTTGCCTGTTTGGTCGTTCTAGACATTGACCGTTTTCCTACCAAAGTGTAGAATTACATTAACATACCTAGGCGAATAAAAATTATATTTCTCTTAATACTGTTATCTAGTGACAAATGGCAATACTGTAAAATTCAGGAACTTTTATTTTTGTTTCATTTTCAAATGGGGAAAGAACTTCCTAGTAAATTACAGATTCATGTTTTATTTTCAACTTTTATAACCTTCATTCACTTATTGTTAAATTTAAATTATTAATAAAATATTCTCTCTTTCAGACGAAATCAAAGTCCGCAGAAAGCGGCCCTTCTGAAAAAATTGAGCTGCAGCCATTGACGAGCCAGTGTTTTAAGAAAGAATCTCCATCGTCACCAGATCAGGGGTTTAGGGAATCTTTACCTGTGGGGGAGGAGGCAAGTGATTCTCCAGTGGTAGAATTCCTCGAGTCTTCTTCGAAAGCCGAAGCTCGAAGCCGAAGCGTCGAGGACCTGCCTAAAAAGCCAAAAACCTACCTTTTTAGGGACTCAAAGTCTTCGGATGTGTAAATTTAAAAACAAATTAATAAAAACAGAATAAAACAAACAAGAAGAATTAAAACTTTGTAACGTAAGTTATAATGTCGGATTTTATGGCTGTTATTTATTTTTGTAACGCCAAAGTTTTCATTTGGTCTTGTATATTGTGTGAATGTAATCTGGATCGTTCTTATATATATATACATATATATATAATGGTGCATTAATTATATTCCGCATTACCGGTGATGTTTAATACTACAACTTCTACTTCCTCATATCGCATCTGGTAACCACACAAATATCTATTCTGTGTGAAATAAGAGACCCTCCATCTAGTTAAAAGGAAAGAAATCGGAGCGAAAATGAATATTTTGGTTGATGGTTGCTTTGAACGACATTCTAGATATCTAAACCTTGTTGAAATTACTGGATTTAGTAGTATGAAAATAATTATTTTACCTTCCTTGATATGTATTAGAAAACAACATTTATAAAAAAGTAGTACTTTTTTGCTGTTAGTAATCTTAATTTATTATTTCATTACAATAGGCACTAACTTGAATTTGTGCAGTATTAAATTCATGTAATACAAATTACTTAATTAAACATAATTCGTTTCGTGCTATTTTAAGATCTTTAAATATTATGTTTCTTTTTTCCATGCACACATATATCTCTTAATGAATATACTATTACATAATGAGTAAAATTTAAGACATATGTATTAAAAATAGTTATACAGAAAATGTATAAATGATGAAATAATAGTTAACAAACAAATACAGGGTCCTAAGCATTTAAACGAGTGTTTAATTTTAAAGAATATTCAAAAATATACCATTTACATATCAATAATTTAAGTAACATTTTATCGCTTAATGTGTAGCAGTTAAAATGTTAAACTCTTTTGTAAGAAATATTCATTTTCATTATTTAGCCTAATCATTTCATAATAAAAGTACAAAATTTTATTATATTACTAGGTTAATTTCTTAAGTATATCTTCATATCAAGTAAAAGTAAAATCTTGTTAAAACATTTAACTGTACAAAAAAAAAAAAAAAAAAAAAAAAAAAAAAAAAAGGTATATTCCTGAAATTCCGCCTAATTCTATTATGTACAAAAAGCGTTTAAATATGCAAAGCAGACAATCATGTATGTATACGGCAATGGATATAATATAAAAGAAACTGTTTGTAGTTTTTTTTAACTATATTTTCCTGAAACCAAAAACGGCAGTCAGATCTTTGGAATTAATTTGAACATTTAATTCTCACTTTCATTTATAATAAAATATTACTTTTATATACTTATAATATACTTGAAAAGTATACGTAATTAATATTTTAACATTGGTTTTTAATTTGTGACATATTAATTTATCAAATTACGAGTAGTTAATTTTAGTATGATCTGTAGTGAAACTGCTTGCATTGTTAGAACTGAATGTAAATTATTGTTAGACAAACAAATCATAGCTATTTCATCTTAGTAAATGCTTAGGCTCAAAATCGTTATTCATAAAGCTAATGGCTAAATTCTAATGTATCCTCTGATAATTCACTAACAGTTCTATTCACTGTAAGGTTTTCTGGAACTATTGTTCTCTTCTTGCTCTTAATAAATACTCACTTAAATTTTCTGGACCATAAAATTTCAATTTTATTCGAAAATGTTTAAAATGTTTTCAATTTTATTTCTTGACATTTAGCAAAGTTTCTTAATTTCTAGGAGTACACAGAAATCTTTCTGTACAGCAACAAAGAAATTTATTTTTTATCGTCGTTTATTTTCGTGTTACTTGTTCAGATTTCTAATAATTCTTAGCTATTACTTAATTTTTTATTTTTATTTATTTATTTATTTATTTTCAACTTCTTTTACAAGCATGTGCAACATTTTGCATTGCTTCACCTTCATCAAATTATCAGTGCTGATTTTCAGGTCACTAAGTCAATCTCCAGGTCACTAAATCAATCACGTGAGCTCACTCTCTGTAACATGGAAGTTAGAATAGATGGATTAAAGAAATGACGTCACAAAATTGAAGCCAAGGAATTGTTAGCAACGTGACGTATGTATTATCATGACCGCTGTACAGCGTACGGGTAGGACTATAAAACATATTACATTTGTGTTATAGTTACCATTTACACATTTCCATGTACCTGGATTTTAATTAATATGAGAACGTTATTTGTAATTCTTGTAATTTATCTATATACTAAATAGGAAAATATTTTACGTTAACATTATGTTATTAGAATTAAAATTAGAACGGGAGACTTTTAAATGTTTAATGATGAAATAGCTAACATGCAAACAACGCCGATTAGAATGTAAACAAAGTCCTTTTATGGCCACGATGATAAGACCGTGACGATTCGCTGCTTCATTTTCATTGCACGGAACATTTCGCAAAAGTGTGTGAGTGTGTGAGTGATTATGGCAAAGCCTCGAGGGCTATCTGCCTAAAGGGAGGGATGCCTTTCGTGGAGGACTTTCTAAGGGAAACTGGCTCGTATACACGTTACACATGGGGAAAACCACGAAAACGCCCATGCAGCCAGCCCGTTCGCGGGATTCGAACCTCGGACCGAACTACCAGTGTTCAGCGACATACCGCTCGGCCGCTGGTGGGCCCATTTCGCAAAAGACTTACTCCATCTATTCTAACTCCATTGTCTGTAATGAGGTAATATGTGTACAGCTTAGTTAATTAGTTCCTTCTTTTCTCTGTTATTAGATTCATGTGTGTGAAATAAATTTTTAACTCAATTTATTATTTGGTTAAACGAATTAGAATATGTTTCCTTTTTATTAATATTTATCTTTAATACTTTCTTATTCTCATTCATGTTTTAACCTGAACTTTAAATTCTGCTAGTTTTTCGGATTTTTATTTATGTTTCCTTACATCTATTTCTAGAATAAATGCTTGTACGATCCTTTAATTTTAGTTTTTACTTATGTTTTCACCCAATAGAGTAACAAAATAGTAACTCCTAACCAATTCGATAGTAGCCGACAGAGTGAATTCCCGATTACAGTATCCAGTTATCCAATAAAGTAAATTCGATAGTAACCAACAGAATAAAAAGGAATGCCTTTTTCTTTTCGTTACCAATATTATACTTAATGTGTTTCTGATACTTTTTGAAATTTAATTTTTCATTCTGTAATTAATTTTTTTAGCCATTTTAAAACATCAGATTAAAAAAAATCATTCTAATTGCATTTCATTTCCAAAAATGAAATAAAAAAGTATAAGGATAGGGATTTAGACATCTTTTGTTCTACTGAAATGAAATAAGTAACTCGAGTTAGTAGATTTATTTCAGAACGCAAGTATTAGATCAGCTAGTATTCAATGCTCTGTCGTAAGTTTCCATCTATATTAATTATCTGATATTATAAGACGATAATCCCTTAATCGAAATCTTTATTTAAATTTTCTCATAGACCAATCATGTTTTTATGCATAACGGTATTTAAAATTAAACAATTCGCAGTTCTGTATTATTTCTACAGAGCAAGTACTTTTACGGAGGTTATTATCTTCCTCCTCTATTTTATGGTCCAGATATTTCATCTGGTACTTAAAATGTATAAGTATTTATTTTATTTAAAAGGTTTCTCTAACTTCATAATTTTATTCGGTTGTATTATACAGAGATTTATTACGGTATAATATTTTCAACAATTCATAAAATATACAATGAAATTTGAGAGACATAGCAGAATTTAATTTTTAAGAAATATTTATAATCATTTTTTGAAAAATTATGTCATCAACTAATAAACAAACTATTAAAGCTTACTTCTTGTATTAGTGATAATTATTCCATACTGATGACATACTTATGGTATCCGAGATTTTAATATTTTTAAATTGTTTATAGTTGCCTTTTTGAATATTACTAACACCTATTAAGTACATTTAAATTAAACAGCTAACGAAAAGCTTTTTATTTCTTTTATTTGCAATAAATGTTATCTCAGCTACATACCCATAAAGCGACCACAAATTTAGAATTATCAGAGGATTCATAAAATTAGACATGAGTAAACTATTTACTAAATGTTAGATATTTCAGTAACGAGAAGTTAAATTTTTTTCAAGCAGATTTTACTCATATGAATGAGATGGCTGAGAAAATTTAATAAAATATAACTTTGTAAAATTATAAACCCAGTTAAAAATCTTAAAAGATATAAAAAAAAAGTATTTAAATTGACTAAATCTTCAAAGATTAAATCAACTTAGTTTAATTAACTGAATTGGATTATTTGATTATGGCAAAACAAAAGGAGAATAATGCCTCCATGGAATGATTCCTAAAAAACATTGACCTCGTGCTTATTATACATAATATAATCACGAGGATCTATGAAAATTTTGTTAGGTAGAAATTTAGTCTTTCTTGAAAAATACGGACTCTGTTAATAAATTTTAAGTAACCTGTCCAGTTTTATTACATTCATTTGTTCCTTCATAATTCCCTGATTAGAGGCGGCATTTAACTAACACAAAATTTTGCACAATTAATTCGTGCTACAAAATATTCTAAAAGAAAATTGTAAAAATTTAAAATAATTCTTTTAAGGAAGATTTAATTCTTTTTTTTTTTTTTTTTCATCCCATTATGTTTGAAACTTTTAAATAATTATATTTTTGAAAAACAGGAAACCGAAAAGAAAATTTAAAAACAAAATTCGAGCAGTTGAAATATTTTTTTTTAATTAGAAGAGTTTTAATACCTTTTATTTGGTTGAAGTTGACGAATATTTTTTTTAATTTTAAATTTAAACTGTTTCGTAAGATTTTCAGGTAACTAATCAGTTCATGCAAGGTTCTTATTTCAGCACATGCAAGAGAAACATATCGAATTCGATCATAATTTGATTGTAAATTTCTTCGTAAGTTTTGTAAGATTCTTTGATAGAGAAAAGCAGTTTTCAGCCATATCACGTGGAATATTAGATGAAACTAATTGATAAAATTGCCTGGATACTTCAAGCGAATTTTATTTCATGACGAGTCATATCGTTTCATGAAATATACGAAGTTGTTTTATAAATTGACAAACTAAACTGAATTTTATCTAGTTTTAAAGCTTGTATTCTAAACCAATTACATACGGTAATAAATGTACCCCATTATATTTAATTTTCTACTCGGTGACCTTGCTACGTTTTACATTGGTTTTAAATACTTGAAACAGAAGTGCTTTTTAATAAAAATTCATATTATTAAACGAACTGAAATACTACAAATAATGCAATGCAAATAATGCAAATCTATGCGGCCGTGTTAAGAAGAAGTTTTTCTTCTATTGGAATTGCGTGAAATTCGAGTTAAAAATTCTAAACTTACATTAATTAAGCAAGGAATTAACTTGAGCTATAAGTCATAATGCTTATTTCGGAGATGGAAACGAAAAATCAACGACGCGCTCATTGTAATTCAAACTCTGGACTTCCCACTACTATCCCGACGTTCCAGTTATACCACGAAGGTACGCGGTAAGAAATCAGATAACTTCTTGCAGAGCTCTTCTAAATTATACTATAAATATGAATAAACATATTAAAATTGATTGAATGATTAAAGTAACATTCCTGAATTTTAATATACTTCTCTTGTAATACATAGTTATTTACCTCACACTATCAATTCAGTTTGAATAGGCTAAAATTTAAATGCAGAATTCCATTACAAAATTTGTAAAATTACTTAAGTTTGCTTAAGAATTTATTTCATCCTGATCATATCTGGACTTCATATGTTAACACATTCTGTTATTTTTTCCTTTATTTAATATTTGATGCTTATTAACAAAATAAAAAAAGAAACTTCTGCTTAACTATTAAAAATCTTACATTAATAATTTCTAGCTAATAAAGGCATTCTTCATACCACCTTTTAGTTAACTGATAATTTGTAATTTACTTTCGTGTACCATTTTTTTAATTTGAAAATAAATGTGTGCAATTCTCTTTTCTTAAGTTTACTATTTAAAATATAAAATAACAGAACATCGATAGTAAATAATGTGATATTTTAATCGATTAGATAAGCTCTGTAATAAATATAAACGTTCATTATGTGGGTTTTATTCAGTTGAATATTAGGAAAACGGGAAAAAATACTACTTTTATTCTTTCAGTTTG